CACACACCACACACCACACACACACATACACCACACCACACACCACACCCACACCACACACACACCACACCACACACCACACACACATCACACACCACACACACACCACACACACACACATCACACACACCACACACATTACACACACCACACCACACACACACACCACACCACACACACACACATTACACACACCACACCACACACACACACCACACACCACACCACACACCACACACCACACCACACACCACACACACACCACACACCACACCACACCACACACCACACCACACCACACACCACACACACACCACACCACACACACCACACACACACACCACACACATCACACACCACACACATCACACACACACACCACACCACACACCACACACACACCACACACACACCACACACATCACACACACACCACATACACACCACACACACACCACACCACACACACCACACACACACACCACACACATCACACACCACACACACCACACACACACCACACACACACCACACACATCACACACACACACATCACACCACACCACACACCACACCACACACACACACACCACACACACACACCACACACACCACACATACACCGCACACACACCGCACACATCACACACCACACCACACACACCACACACACCACACATCACACACCACACCACACACACCACACACACCACACATCACACACACAAAACACACACACACCACACACACACCGCACACACACACCACACACACACCACACATCACACACACACCACACACACACCGCACACACACCACACACACACCAAACACACACCACATCACACACACACACACCACACACACACCACACCACACACACACACACCACACACACACACCACACACACACCACACCACACACCACACACATCACACACCACACCACACACACCACACATCACACACACAAAACACACACACACCACACACACACCGCACACACACACCACACACACACCACACACAGACCACACACACACACCACACACACCACACATGGCGTCTGTAGCGTCAGTAGAAGTCAAGGCCATCAACATCGGACGTGGTGCTACCTGGGCTATGTAGCTGAGCATGGCGTCTGTAGCGTCAGTAGAAGTCAAGGCCCTCAACATCGGCGTGGTGCTACCTGGGCTATGTAGCTGAGCATGGCGTCTGTAGCGTCAGTAGAAGTCAAGGCCATCAACATCGGCGTGGTGCTACCTGGGCTATGTAGCTGAGCGTGGCGTCTGTAGCGTCAGTAGAAGTCAAGGCCCTCAACATCAGCGTGGTGCTACCTGGGCTATGTAGCTGAGCGTGGCATCTGTGGCGTCAGTAGAAGTCAAGGCCCTCAACATCGGCGTGGTGCTACCTGGGCTATGTAGCTGAGCATGGCGTCTGTAGCGTCAGCAGAAGTCAAGGCCCTCAACATCGGCGTGGTGCTACCTGGGCTATGTAGCTGAGCGTGGCGTCTGTAGCGTCAGTAGAAGTCAAGGCCATCGACATCGGACGTGGTGCTACCTGGGCTATGTAGCTGAGCGTGGCATCTGTGGCGTCAGTAGAAGTCAAGGCCCTCAACATCGGCGTGGTGCTACCTGGGCTATGTAGCTGAGCATGGCGTCTGTAGCGTCAGCAGAAGTCAAGGCTCTCAACATCAGCGTGGTGCTACCTGGGCTACGTAGCTGAGCGTGGCGTCTGTAGCGTCAGTAGAAGTCAAGGCCCTCAACATCGGCGTGGTGCTACCTGGGCTATGTAGCTGAGCGTGGCGTCTGTAGCGTCAGTAGAAGTCAAGGCCATCGACATCGGACGTGGTGCTACCTGGGCTATGTAGCTGAGCATGGCGTCTGTAGCGTCAGCAGAAGTCAAGGCTCTCAACATCGGCGTGGTGCTACCTGGGCTATGTAGCTGAGCATGGTGTCTGTAGCGTCAGTAGAAGTCAAGGCCATCAACATCGGCGTGGTGCTACCTGGGCTACGTAGCTGAGCATGGTGTCTGTAGCGTCAGTAGAAGTCAAGGCCATCGACATCGACGTGGTACTACCTGGGCTATGTAGCTGAGCGTGGCGTCTGTAGCGTCAGCAGAAGTCAAGGCCCACGACATCAGCGTGGTACTACCTGGGCTACGTGGCTGAGCGTGGCGTCTGTAGCGTCAGTAGAAGTCAAGGCCCTCAACATCGGCGTGGTGCTACCTGGGCTACGTGGCTGAGCGTGGCGTCTGTAGCGTCAGTAGAAGTCAAGGCCATCGACATCGGCGTGGTGCTACCTGGGCTATGTAGCTGAGCGTGGCGTCTGTAGCATCAGTAGAACAGAAGGCTCTCAACATCGGACGTGGTGCTACCTGGGCTATGTAGCTGAGCATGGCGTCCCTGTTCGTGCTCCAGTAGCGCGGGAGCTCGGATGCAATGGGGAACTTTTCGCAGCTTAGCTCCACCGTCACCTCCATACAGCTCGTGTGGAGGTAAACCCAGTCCTGCATGCCTCCTGCACGGTACACACAGACACACACAGTCACAGAGACACGCACAGAGACACACACACACAGTCACCACACACACAGACACACACAGACACACACAGTCACAGAGACACGCACAGAGACACACACACACACACAGTCACAGAGACACGCAGAGAGACACACACACAAAGACACACACACAGTCACCACACACACAGACACACACAGACACACACAGTCACAGAGACACGCACATAGACACACACACACAGAGAGACACACACAGAGAGACACACACACAGTCACCACACACACAGTCACCACACACACAGACACACACACACAGACACACACAGAGACAACAACCGCCATTCGCCACTAAGTGGCGGTGACGTCACCACGACGCTTGTGCCAGGCTATGTGCACCCTGAGTCCACGTGAAGTGTCGAACGCCCGCTGGCAGGAGGTCACGGGGCAGACCCAGGTGCCACGGGTCGACTGACTGAGATGACTGGCTGATGCACCACCTGTGCCCCCTACTGTGCCAACCCGCTGTGCTTTAGCCACCCGGCGCTCCGCTCATTGTTCTGAGCGTCGCTCCTCCGTCCTCCGTTGTTGTTGGAGGGCGACTGCCTCCAACTGCCCAGTAGCATCCTTCACGAGCCTCCTCCACAGAGGCCGATCTTGACACCGCTGGTACCAGTCATCGGCAAGTCCACTCAGCTCCACGTCCTCCTGTACCACATCACTCCATCTCTTCTCTAGCCCGTGCCGCGCCCGCTTAGCCCCCTCAATCCGGCCAAACAAAAGCTGTTTCGGCATGCGGTGGCTGGGCATGCGGGCTACATGACCCAGCCATCGCAGCCTTGCCTGCCGGAGGAGCTCACCGATGGGACCCTGCCCAGATCTTTCAAGGATTTGTAAGCTCCTCTCACAATCCAGTCTGGTTAAACCCAGGATGGATCGTAGGCAGGCCAGCCTAAATGTTTCTAACCGGCGAAGATGTTCCATTAGGGGGGTCCACGTTTCGCAAGCGTAGAGAAGGGAGGGAATGACCGTGGCCGAGAAGACCTGAAGCTTAGTGCGGAGCGACAGACCAGGTAGCTTCCACACAGCGTTACGCAACCGATGAAAATATATTGCCATTCGACTGATTCGGAGTGAGACCTCTGCTGTTAAACTGAAGCCAGGCATAAGCAAACTGCCCAGGTATGGGAAACTCTCCACTCTCTCCACAACTGCCCCATCACCGATTGGGAGTTGTGGGGGTGGAGTTTCCGATGGTACAAAATACCCAGGCAGGTGCTTAGTTTTGATGGGGCTAATGGTAAGGCCCCACCTCTTAGTGGCACGCTCCAGTCTCAGCAGCAGCGTCTCCAACTCCTCCTCTGAATGAGCAGCTATTACCAAATCATCAGCATACATAACGTGGTTGAGCAATAGGGAGCCATCCCTTGACCGCACCCGGGCATCGATCAGCCTCCCATTATATCTGTACCATATGGAGATTCCACCGGTACAGCTATTGAATGCTTCACGAACTACGTGGTCAAAATAGATGTTAAATAATGTGGGAGCCAGAGGACATCCCTGTCGCACCCCAAGGTGTACAGGGAATGGCTCTGACTCCCGGCCACGTAGTTTTACCCGGGCCCGCTCACCATCATGAAGGTCCTTAATGATCGTGAGCAGAGGGTCAGGTACTCCAAAAGCACGAAGAACAACCCAGAGCCCAGGCCTACTGATGGTATCATAGGCCTTGACCAGGTCAATAAAGCAGAGATGTAGGTCTTGTTGGAATTCCCTACACCTCTGCTCTAGCAGACGGACAGAAAATATGGCATCTGTGCAGGACCGCCCTTTCCTGAAACCGCATTGGGGCTCCGCAAGCCTCTCCTCAGCGTGCCTGGCAAGGAGATGTTGAATAATCCTTGCCAGGACCTTTCCCGGCACACTGAGGAGCGAGATGCCCCTGTAGTTGTTACAGTCTGTGCGGTCCCCCTTCTTAAAAAGGGGGACCACCAGGGCATCCTTCCAATCCTGCAGAACCCGTCCAGTGGTCCAGACTGTTGTTATGCTGTCATATAGGGCAGTCTGTGCACTTACGCCACCCTCCCTCAGCATTTCGCTTGGGAGATCATCTCTGCCCGCTGCCTTTCCTGGTCTCAGACTCCGGATCGCCTTCAGTACTTCCTCAACAGATGGCACCTCAGCCAGCCACTCACAGGGGGTGACTTCTTCCAATATTTGAGGCACCGCAGCCTCAGCAGGGTCATCCTCACTTTGTGCCACGATGTTTTCCTGGCTGAGGGATTTTCCCTCCCCCAGGACCTCACAGAAATGCTCAGCAAATCTGCAAACCTGTTCCTGGGGGTCGGAGATTGGATCACCGTTTTTTTCCCCTAATGATGGTAATAGGTGTGGCACTGCAGGTTACTTTTTTGATGGAGTTAAATAGAGATTTGTGATCACGGGCCACTGAGGCAGACTCCATCTCCTCAGCAACCCGCGACCACCACCCATCCTTGCAGCGCCTCACGGCTCTCCGAACCTCCGAGCGAAGGCTGCGGTAAGCCTCCTCATTCTCTGACGTGGGATTCTGTAGCCGATGACAGTGGGCCTGTCGCTTTTTCTCAACCATCCTGAACACCTCCTCTGTCAGCCAGGGTCTCTGGGGAGGTCTGGACCGTGTACCCAAAGCAGCCATTGCAGCTGCATGAGTCACAGTCCTAAACCTCGCCCATTTACCCTCGACATCAGGAGGAGTCGGGGACGATGCCAATCCCAGCTGCAAGCGATGATGAAAATCTCGCTTGCAACTTTCATCAGATAACTGAGACCAGGCCACTTTAGGTTGGAATGGGGTCCTGGGTGTACACCCACCACCGGAGTGGAAGAATGGCAGGCGCATCTTACAGATGACTAGTCGATGGTCAGAGGGCAGATCAGCTCCACGGTAGGTCCTGGTGTCAAGGACATGGGCTCGCATCCGCTGGTCCGTCACTATGTAGTCTAACAGATGTTCTTACTTGGGCCCGGCATGCATCCATGATGTTGTGTGGATGCGCCGATGCCGGAACAGCGTGTTGGTAATTACAAGCCCATGGGCTGCACAAAAATCTAGCAGCCTCCTACCATTGTTATTGAGCTGATCTGGCCCATGCCCTCCAATCACTCCAGACCAGGTGCCAGCATCATAACCAACTCGGGCATTGAAGTCACCCAACATGATGACTCTATCCCGAGGGGCCACTTTAGCCAGCACCTGTGACAGGAGGCCATAGAAGGCATCTGACTCATCGGCTTTGCCTGCATCCCTCCACGGATGTTCATCTTCGGTGGGGGAATAAGTAACCACGACCACCATTCCTCGCCTCCGGTTGATGGCAAGGCGAGCCCAAAGTAGCCCGGGGCTTACAGCTTCCCACACCTCACCGCCACGCTCCCACGCCCCCTTCATTCTTTTGTTCAAAAGAAGAGCCACACCCTGTTGTTTGGCAGTCTGCTGCCCCGAGTAGAGAACTGTCCACCCCTCATGGTGGCAGGAGCAAGAACTGGCCCACCAGACCTCCTGAATGCCACATAGATCCAGGCGGTACTGGTCCATCTCCCGACAGAGGAGTGGCAGCCTCTCCTCCACAGTGAGCGTTCGAACATTCCACGTGGCCACCCGTAGTGGCTTTTCGTTGTTTCTGGAGGAGCCCCGAGGGTAGGTATTCAATCTCCTGGCTCCGCCAATTGGGGTTTGGCCAGGAGACGTCATAGACGCCTGGCCCCCCGGGGCCTCCGGCACAAGCTTATTAGTTACATATTTCAGTTTAACTCGTGGTTTAGTGGTAATTAATTGAAGGTGGAGGGGTTACCAGCCCCTTGCACCCGTCCAGAGCCCCCGTTTAGCCCCTGTGGTGGACACAGACGCCATGAGGGGAGGAGCCAATCGGAATTGGACCTCCCCCCACAGCACTGTCCACGACAGAGTTGCCCGTCCGGCACCGCGAGGAGGTAGGGGGTTGTTTTGCCAGACGCACACACACACAGACACACACCACACACTCACCACACACACACAGACACACACACACCACACTCACCACATTCACCACACACTCACCACACTCACCACACACACCACACTCACCACACATACACACTCACCACACACTCACCACACACTCACCACACACTCACCACGCTCACCACACACACACCACACACTCACCACACTCACACACCACACACACCACACACACACCACACTCACCACACACTCACCACACACTCACTACACATACACCACACTCACCACACACACAACACACACCACACACTCACCACACACACACCACACTCACACACCACACACTCCACACTCACCACACTCACCACACACACACCACACTCACCACACACTCACCACACACCACACACACTCACCACACACACTCACCACACAGACACACACAGACACACACAGACACACAGACACACACAGACACACAGACACTCACCACACTCACCACACTCACCACACGCTCCCCACACACACCACACACACACCACACACTCAACACACTCACAACACACTCACCACACTCACCACACACTCACCACACACACCCCACACTCACCACACACACCCCACACTCACCACACACACCCCACACTCACCACACACTCACCACACACTCACCACACACACCCCACACTCACCACACACACCCCACACTCACCACACACACCCCACACTCACCACACACTCACCACACATACACCACACTCACCACACACTCACCACACACTCACCCCACACACACACCACACACTCACCACACTCACCACACACACCCCACACACACACCACACACTCACCACACTCACCACACACACCCCACACACTCACCACACACACACCACGCTCACCACACACAGAGACACACACCACACTCACAACACACTCACCACACACACACCACACACTCACCACACTCACCACACACTCACTACACGCTCACCACACACTCACCACACACACCACACTCACCACACACTCACCACACACTCACCACACACTCACCACACACACAACACACTCACCACACAGACATACAGATACACAAACAGACACACACACACTCACCACACTCACCACACTCACCACACACTCACCACACTCAACACACACACCACACACACCACACACACACCCCACACAACACACTCACCACACACACACCACACACTCACCACACACACCCCACACACACACACACACCACACTCACCACACACTCACCACACACACACCACACTCACCACACACACACACTCACCACAGACACCACACAGACACACACAGACACACAGACACACAGACACAGACACACACACACTCACCACACTCACCACACGCTCACCACACACACCCCACACACACACCACACACTCACCACACGCTCACCACACACTCACCACACACACTACACACACACACACCACACACACACACACACCACAGAGACACACCACACACTCACCACACTCACCACACACTCACCACACTTACAACACACTCACCACACACACACCACACTCACCACACACTCACCACACACCCCACACACACACCACACACTCACCCCACACACACACCACACACTCACCACACTCACCACACACACCCCACACACACACCACACACTCACCACACTCACCACACACACCCCACACACTCACCACACACACACCACGCTCACCACACACTCACCACACACTCCCCACACACACAGACACACACCACACTCACAACACACTCACCACACACACACCACACACACCACACTCACCACACACTCACCACACACTCACCACACTCACCACACACACACCACACTCACCACACACTCACAACACACTCACCACACTCACCACACACTCACCACACGCTCACCACACACTCACCACACACACCCCACACACACACACACCACACTCACCACACGCTCACCACACGCTCACCACACACTCACCACACACACCCCACACACACACACACCACACTCACCACACGCTCACCACACGCTCACCACACGCTCACCACACGCTCACCACACACTCACCCGTAACACTGTACCATGCTGCACCATTGGTGATACCGTTCCGGAAGAAATCTTCGTAGCCCAGGGCAGCGCAAGGTCTCTCAGAGCCCATGTCAGGATTATTCTGCAAAGGCAAAGAGCCCCCGGGTAGCCTGTGACAGACTGGAGGGGCAAGTGCTGCTAGTAGCGAGTAGCACCACCTATGATGTACACACACAGACAAAGCTTCCCCAGGTAGCCTCTAGCAGGGCTGTAGGGGCAAGTGCTGTCAGTAGCACCACCTATGATACACACACAGACAAAGCTTCCCCAGGTAGCCTCTAGCACAGCTGTAGGGGCAAGTGCTGTCAGTAGCACCACCTATGATACACACGTACAAAGCTCCCCCAGGTAGCCTCTAGCAGGGCTGTAGGGGCAAGTGCTGTTAGTGGCGAGTAGCAGCAGCAGCGTCTATGAAGGCTACCGGCACTGTAGCACACGAGGGGGTGGGTGGCCAGCACCACCACCACGCCCGGCCGCCTTTGTCTCTCCCCCAGTGCTAGCGAGGTTTACTACACCACCACCACTACACCACCACTACACCACCACCACTACACTATCACCACCACTACACCACCACCACGACACCACCACCACTACACCACCACCACACAACCACCACTACTACACCACCACCACTACACCATCACTACACCACTACCACTACACCATCACCACCACTACACCACCACTACACCACCACCACCACTACACCACCACCACCACTACACCACCACCACCACTACACCACCACCACCACCACTACACCACCACCACTACACCACCACTACTACACCACCACTACTACACCACCACCACACAACCACCACCACTACACCACCACTACACCACCACCACTACACCACCACCACTACACCACCACCACTACACCACCACCACACCATCACCACCACCACCACCACCACTACACCACCACCACCACTACACCACCACCACCACTACACCATCACTACACCACTACCACTACACCATCACCACCACTACACCATCACCAGCACGACACCACCACCACTACACCACCACCACCACCACTACACCACCACCACTACCACTACACCATCACCACCACAAACACCACCACCACTACTACACCACCACCACCACTACACCAACACTACACCACCACTACACCACCACTACTACACCACCACCACTACACCACCACCACTATAACACCACCACCACTACACCACCACTACACCACCACTATAACACCACCACCACTACACCACCACCACTATAAAACCACCACCACTATAAAACCACCACTACACCACCACCACACAACCACCACCACTACCATCACCACCACCACCACCACTACACCACCACCACTACACCACCACCACCACTATAAAACCACCACTACACCACCACCACACAACCACCACCACTACCATCACCACCACCACTACACCACCACCACCACTACACCACCACCACCACCACCACTACACCACCACCACTACACCACCACCACCACCACGACCACTACACCACCACCACCACTACACTACCACCACTACTACACTACCACCACTACACCACCACCACTACACCACAACCACCACACAACCACCACTACAACACCACCACCACTACACCACAACCACCACACAACACCACCACACCACCACCACTACACCAGGTACTCATTTGAGGCTGAGTCGACCTAGGGGAGGCCCAGAACCGGTTCAGAGAATCGTCACTGAGTGGTGGTGGCCGTGAGCGGGAATCGAACTCGGGTGGCCAGGTTCGTAGCGCAGCGTAGCGCTAACCACTACACCCACCACTCCTACACACACACACAGACTCACACACAGACACATTACACACACATTACACACAGACACACACACGTAGCGCAGCGTAGCGCTAACCACTACGCCCACCACTCCTACACACACACACAGACTCACACACAGACACACACACAGTGACATACACACATCACACACAGACACACACACGTGGCGCTAACCACTACACCCACCACTCCTACACACACACACAGACACACACACAGTGACACACACACATCACACACAGACACACACGTAGCGCTAACCACTACACCCACCACTCCCTACACAACAACAACAACCGCCATTCGCCACTAAGTGGCGGTGACGTCACCACGATGCTTGTGCCAGGCTATGTGCACCCTGAGGCCACGTGAAGTGTCGAACGTCCGCTGGCAGGAGGTCACGGGGTAGTAAGTGAGTAAGTGATTGAGTGAGTGAGTGAGTAAGTAAGTAAGCGAGTGAGTGAGTTAAAGAGCGAGTGAGTAAGCGAGTGAGTGAGTGAGAGAGTGAGCGAGTGAGTAAGCGAGTGAGTGAGTAAGGGAGTGAGTGATTGAGTGAGTCAGTGAGTGAGCGAGTGAGTGAGTGATTGAGTGAGTCAGTGAGTGAGCGAGTGAGTGAGTAAGTGAGTGAGTGAGCGAGTGAGTGAGTGAGTGAGCGAGTGAGTGAGTGAGTGAGCGAGCGAGTGAGCGAGTGAGTAGTGAGCGAGTGAGCGAGCGAGTGAGTAGTGAGCGAGTGAGCGAGTGAGTGAGCGAGTGAGCGAGTGAGTAGCGAGTGAGTGAGTGAGTAGTGAGTGAATGAGTGAGTGATTGAGTAAGTGAGTGAGCGAGTGAGTGAGTGAGTGAGTGGGTGAGTGAGTGAGCGAGTGAGTAGTGAGTAGTGAGTGAGCGAGCGAGCGAGCGAGTGAGTGAGTGAGTGAGTGAGCGAGTGAGTAGTGAGTAAGTGAGTGAGTGAGTGAGCGAGTGAGTGAGTGAGCGAGTGAGCGAGTGAGTAGTGAGTGAGTGAGTGAGCGAGCGAGTGAGCGAGTAAGTGAGTGAGCGAGTGAGTGAGTGAGTAGTGAGTGAGTGAGTGAGTAGTGAGTGATTGAGCGAGTGAGTGAGTAGTGAGCGAGTGAGCGAGTGAGTGAGTGAGTGAGCGAGTAAGTGAGTGAGTAGTGAGTGAGTGAGCGAGCGAGTGAGTGAGTAGTGAGTAAGTGAGTGAGTGAGTGAGCGAGTGAGTGAGTGAGAAAGTGAGTAGCGAGTGAGTGAGTGAGTAAGTGAGTGAGTGAGTAGTGAGTGAGTGAGCGAGTGAGCGAGTGAGTGAGTAGTGAGTGAGTGAGCGAGTGAGTAGTGAGTAGTGATTGAGTAAGCGAGTGAGTGAGTGAGTGAGCGAGCCAGTGAGTGAGTGAGTAGTGAGTGAGTGAGTGAGTGGTGAGTGAGTGAGTGAGCGGGTGAGTGAGTAGTGAGTGAGTGAGTAGTGAGTGAGTAGTGAGTAGTGAGTGAGTGAGTGAGCGAGTGAGTAGTGAGTAGTGAGTGAGTGAGTGAGCAGGTGAGTGAGTAGTGAGTGAGTGAGCGAGTGAGTGAGTGAGTGAGTGAGCGAGTGAGTGAGTGAGTGTGTGAGTGAGTGAGTAGTGAGTGAGTGAGCGAATGAGTAGTGAGTAGTGATTGAGTAAGCGAGTGAGTGAGTGAGTAAGTGAGTGAGCGAGCCAGTGAGTGAGTGAGTAGTGAGTGAGTGAGTGAGTAGTGAGTGAGTGAGTGAGCGAGTGAGTGAGCGAGTGAGCGAGTGAGTGAGCGAGTGAGTGAGTGAGTGAGCGAGTGAGCGAGAGAGTGAGTGAGTGAGTAGTGCGTGAGTGAGTGAGTGATTGAGTGAGCAAGTGAGTGAGTGAGTAGTGAGTGAGTGAGTGAGCGAGCGAGCGAGCGAGTGAGTAGTGAGTGGAGTGAGCGAGCGAGCGAGCGAGCGAGCGAGCGGGTGAGTGAGTGAGTGAGTGGGTGAGTAGTGAGTGAGTGAGCGAGTGAGTGAGCGAGTGAGTGAGTGAGTGAGCGAGTGAGTGGGTGAGTGAGTGAGTGGGTGAGTGAGCGAGTGAGTGGGTGAGTGAGTGAGTGGGTGAGTGAGTGAGTGAGCGAGTGAGTGAGCGAGCGTGCGAGTGAGTAGTGAGTGAGTGAGTGAGTAGTGAGTGAGTGAGTGAGCGAGTGAGTGAGTGAGTAGCGAGTGAGTGAGTGAGTGAGTGAGCGAGTGAGTGAGTGAGTGAGTAGTGAGTGAGCGAGCGAGTGAGTGAGTGAGCGAGTGAGTGAGTGAGTGAGCGAGTGAGCGAGTGAGCGAGTGAGCGAGTGAGTGGTGAGTGAGTGAGTGAGTGGTGAGTGAGTGGTGAGTGAGCGAGTGAGTGAGTAGTGAGTGAGTGAGTGGGTGAGTGAGTGAGTGAGTGAGCGAGTGATCGAGTGAGTGAGTGAGTGAGTGAATGAGTGAGTGAGTGAGCGAGCGAGTGAGTGAGCGAGCGTGCGAGTGAGTAGTGAGTGAGTGAGTGAGTAGTGAGTGAGTGAGTGAGCGAGTGAGTGAGTGAGTAGCGAGTGAGTGAGTGAGTGAGCGAGTGAGTGAGTGAGCGAGTGAGTGAGTGAGTAGTGAGTGAGCGAGCGAGTGAGTGAGTGAGCGAGTGAGTGAGTGAGTGAGTGAGCGAGTGAGCGAGTGAGCGAGTGAGTGAGTGAGTGGTGAGTGAGTGAGTGAGTGGTGAGTGAGTGAGTGGTGAGTGAGCGAGTGAGTAGTGAGTGAGTGAGTGGGTGAGTGAGTGAGTGAGTTAGCGAGTGATCGAGTGAGTGAGCGAGTGAGTGAGTGAGTGAGTGAGCGAGTGAGTGAGTGAGTGAGCGAGTGAGTGAGTAGTGAGTGAGCGAGTGAGTGAGTAGTGAGTGAGTGAGTAAGTGAGTGAGTGAGTGAGCGAGTGAGTGAGTGAGTGGTGAGTGAGTGAGTGAGTGAATGAGCGAGTGAGTGAGTGAATGAGTGAGTGAATGAGTGAGTGAGCGAGTGAGTGAGTGAGTGAGCGAGCGAGCGAGTGGTGAGTGAGTGAGGAGTGAGCGAGTGAGTGAGTGAGTGAATGAGTGAGTGAGCGAGTGAGTGAGTGAGCGAGTGAGTGAGTGAGTGGGTGAGTGAGTGAGTGAGTGGTGAGTGAGTGAGTGAGCGAGTGAGTGGGTGAGTGAGTGAGTGGTGAGTGAGTGAGTGGTGAGTGAGTGAATGAGTGAGTGAATGAGTGAGTGAATGAGTGAGTGAGTGAGTGAATGAGTGAGTGAGTGAGTGA